TGGTCATGGAAGGTTGTAGATATATATATATATATATATTGGGATGTAAATGCTTATGGTGTATTGAGAGGTAGGATGGGGATTATGATGTGGGGTAATATTTTCAAAACGGTTGTTTAAGTGGGATTATTTTATATTAACGTGAGAAGTTTTATCAAAGAAAGAATGAGGTTTTAAAACATTTTCTTTTGAATGTAATGATGGGAATGTAAAAGAGAAGAAATGGTTTTATACTGAATTGTGTTAAAAGGAATGTTTTGAGATAAACACAGTTATATGTGTATATTTTGGCTATTAAATGTCACACTACTTATATGGTATGTCTTGATGCATTCATTATCATTTTTATCTATATGTTGTGATTGGTTAGAATATTCGGGATCTCTACTGGGCTTAGTGCTTATCCTAAGGGTTGATAAACTTTTTCAGGTACAAGGCTGGAGCAATCACGTATGACTTAAAGTCTTTAAATTGTTGGCCACGGGGCCCTTTACTTATTGGCCGTGTGCCATGTACTATATAATGATAAATTCCTTTTGTTGTATTTATTGTTATTCAATGTAAGCCTAAGGGCATTGTACCATGTTTTATTTATATCATCATTGTTGCCGTGAGAGAATGTTATTATTTATTCTGGTTCATGTTCTCAACTAAATGGAACTATTATAATGGATTCCGTAATGGATTCGAATAATAAAAGTTAGGGTGTGACAATCTATTCATCAATCCCACGGCCCGCTCAATTCGTATATGCCAAATTGGTAGACGAATGCGGATTAATTTTTTTCAATCCTCCTAATTTTAGACAGACAACGAATGAGATGCCACTTGACCCAACTCGATCCGCAATCACTCCTAACTAGAATATAAAAATAATAGTAGCCTAATAGGTTCATTTGTTGGCTATGCCTTTCAATTTGTTGCTTTTGAAATTTTGCCTTCAGAGTTAGCGATTGTTATCTATAAGTCTCTTTTGGGAAGGTAAAAGAAATTTAACTTATGGAATTATTGTAAAGGAGGAGTAGGTGAAGAAGAGGATTAGGCAGAGCTCGATAGCCGACGAAGGAGAGGTTTGAACAGATATAATCGGTGAACGGAGGAGGAGAAAGGGAAAAGCCTGCTTGTTTGTTTTTTTACCTTAATTAAAACCACATCGTTTGGAATCATTTAGGAAAATCTTAGAGAATCAACTCTACTATATTTATGTATCCATTAATTTCATACTAAAAAAACACTTGATTATGAAACCTCAACTACTCTGTTTGGTTTCTATTTCATACTAAAAAAGAACTATCCATTAATCGGGTGGGCTCTCGCGTATATATCTTTTGTATATCATACAAAGACCACCAGATGACTATAGGAAACATTTACTCTGTTTGGTTTTCATTTCTAGAATTTATTTTTCAAAAAATTTAATTTTTCGTTTTTCATATTTTTTTATTTTCACTAAACTTTTTTAATATTTTAAGTAATTTTTATTTTTATTTTTAGACACACATAACATAAATACACTTAAAAAGTACAATATTTAAAAAAAATCTTTAAAAAATTTACTGAACACCAAAAATATATAAAAAAAAAATCGATACATTTTTTTATATTTTTGTATATTTATTAATTTCTTAAAATATTTTTTTACAAATATTTTACTATTTAGATACATTTAAATAAGGTGAATCTAAAAAATTTTAAAAAAAATTGCTTAAAATTTAAAAATATTCTCCAAAACAAAACACGAAAAATAAAAAATAAAATCAATTTTTTGATAAGTAGATTCAATATTCTGAAACCAAATGTATGTATGTATGTATGTATCTATCTATCTATACTCTCTCTCTCTCTCTATATATATATATAAAGCCTCTAAATATTGATTCTTAAATTCTCATAATTTTAGATAAAATAATTAAATATGGGGCACCTCCCTTTTCACTATCTAGGTTGTAACGCCCCAAATATCTAACCCAAATGATAATACAATAATTATGGCTCTTTTAAGGAAAACCGAATATAATATATATATATATATATATTGGGATGTAAATGCTTATGGTGTATTGAGAGGTAGGATGGGGATTATGATTTGCATTTGGGGTTATATTTTCAAAACGGTTGTTTAAGTGGGATTATTTTATATTAACATGAGAAGTTTTATCAAAGAAAGAATGAGGTTTTAAAACATTTTCTTTTGGATGTAATGATGGGAATGTAAAAGAGAAGAAATGGTTTTATACTGAATTGTGTTAAGAGGATTGTTTTGAGATAAACACAGTTATATGTGTATATTTTGGCTATTAAATGTCACACTACTTATATGGTATGTCTTGATGCATTCATGATCATTTTTATCTATATGTTGTGATTGGTTAGAATATTCGGGATCTCTACTGGGCTTAGTGCTTATCCTAAGGGTTGATAAACTTTTTCAGGTACAAGGCTGGAGCAATCACGTATGACTTAAAGTCTTTAAATTGTTGGCCACGGGGCCCTTTACTTATTGGCCGTGTGCCATGTACTATATAATGATAAATTCCTTTTGTTGTATTTATTGTTATTCAATGTAAGCCTAAGGGCATTGTACCATGTTTTATTTATATCATCATTGTTGCCGTGAGAGAATGTTATTATTTATTCTGGTTCATATTCTCAACTAAATGGAACTATTATAATGGATTCGGTAATGGATTCGAATAATAAAAGTTAGGGTGTGACAATCTATTCATCAATCCCACGGCCCGCTCAATTCGTATATGCCAAATTGGTAGACGAATGCGGATTAATTTTTTTCAATCCTCCCAATTTTAGACAGACAACGAATGAGATGCCACTTGACCCAACTCGATCCGCAATCACTCCTAACTAGAATATAAAAATAATAGTAGCCTAATAGGTTCATTTGTTGGCTATGCCTTTTAATTTGTTGCTTTTGAAATTTTGCCTTCAGAGTTAGCGATTGTTATCTATAAGTCTCTTTTGGGAAGGTAAAAGAAATTTAACTTATGGAATTATTGTAAAGGAGGAGTAGGTGAAGAAGAGGATTAGGCAGAGCTCGATAGCCGACGAAGGAGAGGTTTGAACAGATATAATCGGTGAACGGAGGAGGAGAAAGGGAAAAGCCTGCTTGTTTGTTTTTTTACCTTAATTAAAACCACATCGTTTGGAATCATTTAGGAAAATCTTAGAGAATCAACTCTACTATATTTATGTATCCATTAATTTCATACTAAAAAAACACTTGATTATGAAACCTCAACTACTCATCAATGTTTAGCCTAAAAAAAAAAGAACTATCCATTAATCGGGTGGGCTCCGGCATATATATCTTTTGTATATGATACAAAGACCACCAGATGACTATAGGAAACATTTACTCTGTTTGGTTTCTATTTCTAGAATTTATTTTTTAAAAAATTTAATTTTTTGTTTTTCGTATTTTTTTGTTTTCACTAAATTTTTTTAATATTTTAAGTAATTTTTATTTTTATTTTTAGACACACATAACATAAATACACTTAAAAAGTACAATATTTAAAAAAAATCTTTAAAAAATTTACTGAACACCAAAAATATTAAAAAAAAAATCGATACATTTTTGTATATTTTTGTATATTTATTAATTTCTTAAAATATTTTTTTACAAATATTTTACTATTTAGATACATTTAAATAAGGTGAATCTAAAAAATTTTAAAAAAAATTGCTTAAAATTTAAAAATATTCTCCAAAAGAAAACACGAAAAATAAAATATTCAATTTTCAGAAAATTAAATTGAAAAAATTGAAACCAAACACACTAATTTCTTTTCCTTTTCATTTATTACGGTTTGAATGTTCAGTTTTCTTTTCCAAAATATAGGGAATTTGTTCGTTTCAAGAAATTGTCTTGTTTCTCTATTTCATGTACATGCACTTAGAAAATTCTTTTTTTTTTTCTGTATTTTTTGTTTTCAATTAATTTTTTTAACATTTTAAGCAAAATTTTTTTTTAAAACTTTTAGACATACCTAACATAAATACACTTAAAAAGTATAATATTGGCAAAAAAAATCTTCAAAAAATCCATTAAATACCAAAATAAAAAAATTAAATATATTTTTCTTATTTTTGTGTATTTATTATTTTTTAAAATACTTTTTTACAAATATTTTATTATTTAGATACATCTAAGTAAGGTGTATCTAAAAAAATAAAAATAAAAAATTACTTAAAATTTTAAAAAATTTCACTAAAAACAAAAAAAAATCAAAGAAATAAAAAACTCAATTTTCAGAAAATTGAAACCAAACACATTTGATAGTATAAAACAGCTAATCTACAAGTTATCATTGTACTCATGTTTAGCTTAGATTCAAATAAACCCTATGGTATACAGAAAAAAAAACAAAAAACAAAAAACAAAAAACAAAAAAAAAATCCACTGCTCAAATGCTAAATAATGTTGTGAGGATATTTTTTAATACTAAGATTAACTGAAAAGGTGTATTAAAATTATATTAAAAAATTAATTAAATTTAGTAAAAAATGTCTTGTTTTCTTTAATTTTTAACACACACACATTACGTTCCAAGGACACCTATAAATACGACTCAAATCACAAATTTTTTCTTTTAAAAATAAAAAAACTATTCAATAAAATATTATGACTTTTCACTAGGGATGACGGTTTGAACTCGGCCTGACGGGGACCAGACCTCTCGACCCCGATTTGGGCGTTTTTTCCCTGAAAAATATTCCCAACGGAGAGGGGATGGTATTCAAAAATCAATCCCCGATCAGTTTCGGGCTGGGGATGGAGATAAGTGTTCCAACCCTTATCCGACCCGTCCCTAGCCCCATCCCCATTTGTCCTCGAAGTGAAATTACTATTTTACCCTTATATATATATATATATATAAAGGCACACATTCCACTGAAGAATTTTTCAAGGCACAAGCACAAGCTCGTTCTCTCACTTCTTATCATCATCATTATCATCATCATCTAGAACAGATCGAACAGATCCGCCGATCCTCCACCACCACCGCCTCTGCCGCCATGGCTTCCTCTATGACTCCCCAACGCCGCCACCTCACTCCCACATCCGCTGAAAAAGTGGTTGCAGCACACTGCTTGTCCTCCGCCGCAGATTTTGACATCACTCATTACCTCCTCCGTCACAGCACCGCCTCTGTTCGGCCTCTGCTGCAGCTCCAGTGAATGATTTGGATTTCGATTTGACCCAGACGACGGTATACGGCTTGAGCTGACCGGTGTGCCAGTTGATCTGTGAGGATAACTTAGATTTATATGTGTGATGATGATTGTTGATGGTGATGACAAATACATACATATATGTGTGTGTGTGTGTGTAATGAACAATTTCAAATCTCTCTCTTTTTTTTTTTCCAAGTTGTTGTTGTTGATGATAGATACATATACGTGTGTGTGTGTAATGAACAATTTCAAATCTCTCTCTTTTTTTTTTTCCAAGTTGTTGTTGTTGATGATAGATACATATACGTGTGTGTGTGTAATGAACAATTTCAAATCTCTCTCTTTTTTTTTTTCCAAGTTGTTGTTGTTGATGATAGATACATATACGTGTGTGTGTGTAATGAACAATTTCATATATATATATATATATATATTTTTAAGTTGTTGATGATGAAATATACTGAAAACAATAGATTAATTTTTTTTATTTTATTTTTTTTGTGTTGAACAAAATTATTTTAAAAAAAACAAACAAACAAACAAGTCGGGGATTTTCGGGGTCGGGGAAACCCGATCCCCGTTGGGGGGCGGGGGCGGGGGGGTTGATGGCGTCCCCGTCGGGGATCGGGGACGGGGACGGGGACGGGGACGGGGATTCACACAATTTTTTTACACTAAAACTACAAAATTACCTATAAAAAGAAATTCATAGATGCTCATATTACCACTTGGTTTTCACACAACCCCAGCTAAATGGCAGAAAAAAGAGGGTGAACTTTATGCTCAAATCATCTTTTCATCTTCTAGCTTGAAAAAAAATAAAAATTAAATCAATAAATGCTATGGTAAAAGGAAAAAAAATCTCTATGATTGTCTTGCAAATCTCTACAAAAAGGATATATGTGTACAATAAATATAATGATATACGTGTATATATATATATCATTAAATGAACCTTTCCACTAATTATCTCTTAATTCATTTATATTGATTCCCCATATTAATTCCCCATATTAATTCCATGTTCCACAACTTCTAGTATAATTACTGTAGCATATCAAGGATTCATATAAGTTTTGAAATCAATAAGTGATGTCTATTGGCAATTCCTTCTCAAATAAGCTGATATGCTTTTGTTCTATTACCCAAAGGATGCACAATCAAGCTTTTGGTGTAACTTAGTAGATAAATTCTCACATTACTCTCTCTACTTTTTTATATATTTTTTCGTAAAAAGTAAAAAAATTACTAAAATAACTTGTTCTCAAACGAGGCCTAAGTTATTTAATTTTTTAAACTTATTTGTCACAAAAAAAAAAAAAAAAAAGAGGGAGATTTTTTTGAGTAATAATT